CACACAGCACAAGGAGATACAAATGGGGCACGAGTTAATTAACTGAATACGAGAAGCTGCTTGATAAGAGTGGATAATAAGGAGATTCACAGGCACTAGCTTGTCTGGAGTTAACCATTCAAATGTTTGGTGTTGTATGGATTATTTATGTAAACACCGAACCCCGCAGAATTCGAGGTTATGAGAACAGGTTGACTTTTCGAAATAGGTTTCGTCATTCAACGATTCCTGTTGAATGTACCGTTTATCCTTGTCTACCTTATTGTCACTCTCCATTTATCCCTAGTTACCGGAATTTTAAATAATTACGAAGCAACAGGTATTTGCGCAATGTTAATTAGTCAGATTACCTTGAAAAATATGGCTGCCGTATTTCTGATATAGTTTTTGGCAAATTTCTCAGTTTTTAATAACAATTAACTTCTTTTACTAGTTTTTCTGTACTCCTATAACAGCGCCAGACAACACCCCCAGAGAAATGACGCCAATTTTGAATCACCCTGTAGAAAAAGCTCAATTTGCTCATTCTGTTTCGATAATTCTTCGTTGTACTGTAGCAATCAGTTCAATTTAGCGTAATTTATTTGGGCGTTCAAAAAAATTCACCTTTCAGATTTTGCCCGCACTTTACATTTGCAGAATGTCGATAAAGCGAATTCAACGAGGGGAACGCGTATAAAGCGAAACTAATCGAGCGAAAGCCCACAGTCTATTTTGGGTGGTTGCAAATTTCGATACACGAAAAACGAGAAAAATGGAAAATGATATTCGAATCTCTAGATATATTTCCATAGCTCGCGAGATGTATCAGTGCATGTTTTATTGATCTGCCTATGAATAGTAGAGTTGCATTCACAATCTTCTATTAATTTATCAAAATAGTAACGTTTTGGTGGCAGTTTCTTGAAACCGGCGAGTTTTTCGGGCTTTTAGCTCGTCGCGGATAATCATTTTCAGCAGGAAGAATATTCTTTCGGCCACAATCTAAAAGCCAGAAAACTGTATAAGTACAACCAGGACAAGTTGGTCGTTTCACAGTTCGTTCAGCATTTAAATTCCACGCATATTACAGTAAACTAATTAAATCCAGTGCACAGGTTAACAATCCTGAATACCAATGAACAATCTATGTAATAATTAACCGCATATCTAAAGCGTTGCAGTTGAGGTGACATTTTCAACTAATCGTGTCCACAATGTCGACATTAATCTCGTCTAGCGGCACGGAACAATGCACTAAATGAAAATGGATCCACATTCCGCATCCTCCATTCAGCGACAAACTTTTCCAAGTCAACTAGGTGAAGGACGTGCAACTCAAAGGCAGTTTAATCCGAGAAAAGAGCGAAATATCAGGAATCCATTTAGCTGATGCGACTATGCCAACAGCAGCCATGTTCAGATACACTTCCCGAATCTCTGGAAAAACGGTTCAACCGGTTTCTCAAAGGACGTATTTAGATCAGGCCGGGAAAACATCTCCATGTTTAGATAGTGAATATGCAAAGTGGCTGGGGATTTATGACGGAAACGCCGCCGAGTTTTATACTGGAAGTCTCAATTCACCTTGGTGGAGAAGAGTTAGTGACAATGTCTTTGCAACTGATGGAAAAGTTCAGTTGCATAAATTGCCGCTTCACCGGAACCAACTCAGATTAAGAAAAATGCTTGCAGGCGTTTTGCAAGTAAAATTGCAACGTTTATTCAAACCTCTTGTATAATCCCATTGACGTACTAGTTAGGCAATCAGATTGCTGCGCAATTTGAATAGCTGAATACGATTGAACCTCTTTGAGCCGTCGTTCCGAGCCGCAATTTCACGGAAAATGCCCATTTTCTGTATGAATGGAGCAAAAAGTTATCGATATTCAAGCGAGGCGTGGAATCTAATAAGGCCATTTGCGTCGAAACCTTTTTTCCTGACGCATTTCACGGGGACGCAATAAGCGAAAGGGTGGTTTTGGGTGTACATCAATGAAAACCAAAGCTTTTGCAAGCCCAGAATCCGGTTGATTCCACAAGAAAATAATTTGTAACAAGCAGAGTTTTTCTTAACAATAAACGCATTTGTTAAGGCGATGTTGCAGCTCGCAGACATACATATTGTACCGTGGATGGCCGAGTATCAAACTCTTTCTTCAGCTTCCCACTTTTATTCAACTCGGTATCACTTTAAATACGATACAGGAACAAACTAACTTCTAAATTAACGTCAATTTCACAAACAATAACAATAACAAACGGAAAACTCGGTCTTCCGACTCACGCGGTTTAACCTCTTCTGAACTCGGTCGCTGCTGCCACTTCACTCCCCCTCTGTGGTTCTCCTCGCCGCTTATATAGATTCCTCCAGGTAACCCAGACGGTTCTCGAAATCTCCAGAACAGGTGCGAAACTTCCCGCTTGTCAGTGTCATATTTGACAGTAAATGGGGCCCAAATGGGGCCCCCATTTACTGAAATACCATCAATTTCGATCCCCCCCATTCCAAACGTGAGTACCCCAGGCCATTTCCGTTACACTGCCC